CACACTCACACCAGAAATGCCCCAGGGCTCATTCACGTGGGGCTGGCACAGAACCACACTCACACCCAAATCAGGCACAGAACCACACTCACACCCAAATCAGGGTTGAGTTCCCCCCCTGGGACCAGGACGGAGCTATTTGTCAGCCAACGGGATGCTCCATACAACTCCTGCTGTGTAAGTGCAGCAGTCCCGGCCAGCACTGCACACGTGGGTGGCAACCACGCAGTTGTACGTGGGCAGAGCAGCGCCATTCAGGCCAAACCCTGAAAGCCGGGGCTCCTGCCAGACACTGAAGCCAGCACCCTTGGGGGCCATCCCACAAGGGTGGCAGGGGAATGCACTCATTCCCCACAGCCTCTGCTGGGGCAAGTCCTTTCGAGGGCTGCAGCATCACTCACACTTGGCGTCTTTCCTCCTGGCTGTCAGCAGGAAGTCTTTGATCTCTTCAATTTTACGAGGCTGAAAGTGAAGAAGAAAAGTGCTCAGGACCTGTTCCTCCTCGAGACAAAAGAGCCCCCCCAAGACAGTAACTGCCCTCCACTCCTGGCCACCCTACAGCCCAGGACCCCCCATCGAAAGGCTGCTTTCCACGCTTGTTACCCACGTGCAGAAGACCCCTGCAGCTCCCACGTCTCTATGGCCCTAGATGCCCAGACAGGACCCCAGCACTCCCTGACCCGGAAGTGGTCCCCACACTGCGCACCCCATGACCCCCCCCCGTGAGACACCCACCAGCCCAACTAGTTACCATGGTGAAAGGCCGGGCTCCGGGCGGCTGTGACCTGCTGGGGAAGAGAAACCAAGATGGCGTCACCAGGGGAGGGGGGAGTGTGTTTCGAGCCCCCAAACTATCCTCCCGCTTCCAGCCGCCACTCCATAGGGCTCCCGCCCGGCTCCCCGCCGCCCGCCCCACGTCCTCCGCCCCCTCCTCCAGCTCCACGGTTCATCCCCACCGAGGATGCCGGTGGATACGCCCCGTGCTCCCACCGGCACTCACACGAGCAGCCGCAGCGTAGATGGTAGAAGAGAGCACGTACTTCCGCATCCGGGCACTTAACTCGCCCGGAGGCCGCTACGGGCGCCGCCAAGGGACACGTGGCGCGGGAAGGCGTTCTTAGCCCTGCGCCTGCGCACTGGCGGGTCCTAGGTGGGGCTTGGGGAGCCCAGGGAAAGGCGGGAGGTGGAGGGGCGTGCTGGGGTTGTCTGATTAATAATGCCCCCAATTTTCGGTTTAAGAAAAGCAACGTCAAATGCACATCTTTCCGTGATTAAAATGAAACCCCCCTAATATAGCTCTATATTTATAGATTTCATAGATTCGTAGATGTTAGGGTTGGAAGGGACCTCAATAGATGACCCCCCACATAGGCAGGAAAGTGCTGGGTTCAGATAATCCCAGCCAGATGCCCATCCAACCTTCTCTTTATAGATGTATATCTATAAATATAGATATACATAGTTATATCTATATAGATATGTAGATACCTATAAATATATCTATATATACAGATATGTATATATATATATAGCTATATCTGTAGATATAGGTATGTAGATATATATAAATATAGATATATATAGTTACAGCTATATAGATATTTCTCTATATATACATAATGGTGTTTAATTTTTAATCATGGAAAGAGGTAGGTTTGGGGTTATTTTTTTTAAATCGAAGATTGGAGGTTTTTTTATCAGAGAAAACCAGGATCCCTGGTGATGAGCATGGCAGTTCCCAGCGATGAAGAAAGGCAGAGGAGGAAGTGGGAGCCCGTCCTAGCCGGACAGGGGTGGCATTGCTGTTGGCCTTGAGGCTGGTTTTGCTGGTGCTGCCCTGCACCCCAGGCCCCTTTAGGGGTAGAGTTGCCAACCCTGGAGTCTCCAGGAGTGAGAGCTGAATCTCCAGGAGGCGGCTGAGAGTCACCAGGGAGATCCATGCTAGGGCATTCATTAAAATAAATCTTCAATGTTGACTCCGATTTGTACCGTTGTGCAGTGGGCTTTTAAAATACTCATGTAATGGGCATGTCTACACTGTCATTAACACGCCATAGTTATAGGTGGTAACTAGGAGAGCCCACAAACACCAGCAGACTCTCTCTATGGCCGAAGAAGAGCGTTTGTGCCTGAAAGCTTGCAAAGAACAATTTCCTCAACTATTTAGTGGGTCTAATAGAAGAGATCACATCTACCCAAAGAACCTTGTCTGCCATAGTTATGGTGCAGGAAGTTTAGTACTTGCATAACCAATGCACAGTAACTGGTGCTGCTGGCCCATGGGTTTTTATGGACACTAACTGCATAGTAGCCTAATACTGGCCCAGTAGCTTATTAGCATGGGTTTCGCCCTGCACACTGCTGCACCATGTTATTAGGCTACTGCTCCATTAGTGTCTCATGTAGACGTGCCCAATGGCTAATTAATGTCATTATGTCATGGGATGAAACCTCCTGGAATAGACTCAAATCAAGTTGGTAACCCTATTGAGGGGTGAGGTTATTTCTGCTCTCCAGGAACATTGTGTTGCACTTGCTGGCTTGCACAGCACCTGTCAATGTGTCCCAGCGCTGAGACACAGCGAGGAAAGACCCACACGTGGTTGGAAAGTCATGGTTGGAAGCCAGGGTAGATTTGCACCTTATAGACTAAGGGCATCAGAGCCGCATTGCATAAAGTTTCCTAAGCAGAGGGCTTTGCTATGCTCTCTGTTTACAAAAGCTAACCCTATACACCTCTGATTGAGTGTATATATGGTACAAATCTACCTTGCCTGCTGCCTGACAGCAGACAAATACAACTAACTACCTCTCTCCTGGCTCGAAGCCATTCCTCAGTCACTGCTTGCATCACTGGAAGCAGCTCAAAGCACCCTTCTTTTCTGCCTCAGTGTTCCTGTCTGTACAATGGGGTGATGATACTTCCCACAGGGGCTGGGAAGGGGCTCAACTTGTGGATGGCAGGAACATCTGAAGAACAAAGTGTGTCAGTTTTAACAACAGGTCAATACGTTGGAACGGATTATTTATAGTTATAGCTGCCAATATGCTGTTATTAAATAATAAACTGGTGGTGCCTGGGGGCACCTGGGGATATGTCTGTGTTGTGCTAGGCACTGTACAAACGCTGAGCAGGGGGCCCTGGTACAGACACCGGACAATTTAAAAGGCTGGGGCAGGGAGGGAGAGCCCGGGGGGAGGAAATAAGGGAGGGGGGCCGACCCTCTGTTAGGCTGGGGCCTGTGCACAGGATGCCCACCAAAGGATTTGGAAGTATCTGAAGCCCCAGGCTGGGGGTGGAGAATGCTTGCCAGTAGCAGGGCCACACATGGTTCTTGAATGATTCACATGGATTTTGAACTGATTTGACTTGGGACACGAAAAAATTTTCCATTAAAAAAAATAAATAAATCTGTCCCCGTTACAGCTGTAATGGAAATGTTTGGCCACAAGAGAGAGCTTTTGCCTCAGCTTCTACAACTCCTGCAAAGTCCTTCCCTTTCCTCCCAGGTGTCTTCCTGGGAGAAGCTAGCACCTGTCCCCCTGCGCTGACAGCACCGGCCCAGACAGCTCCCTGTCTCCTGCGGCTGCATTCCCATCTCTGTCGCCTACAAGCGGGGACTCCAGCAGAGCTGGCGTTTGAGGGGAGCTGGCCATTTCCCAAAGGCAGTGGTGCAGAATTGGGTCATGGATGTGGCTTAGCTTGGCTGGGAGTCCAGGGTCAGGAATTGCCAGCCAGGGGGGTGTTTGCTGGCGCCCGTCTGCCTTGCTCTGAAAGGCAGCACCCTCTGGGCAAGGGGACAAGGGGTTCACATGGCGGAGAGCTGTGGCGAGCTCCCTCTCTCCAATTCGGTGTCCGGGAATGTCCGAATCCAGAGGCGTCCAGGCCGGAGCAGGTGCCCTTGGCTCTGAGGGGAGTGGGGTGGATGGAGAGGAGAAGCAGGAGGCATGGCATCTCGTGTGCATGTGTGAGTGTGGGTGCAGGGAGGGGGGGTTGTGCATGGGAGTACAGAGATGTGTGTGTGCGCACGGGAGTGTGTGTATGTGAGTGCAGACAGGTGTGTGTGTGCATGGGGGTGTGAGTGTGTGTATGTAAGTGCAGAGAGGTGTGTGTTTGCATGGGAGTGTGTGTATGTGTATATGAGTGCAGAGAGATGTGTGCGTGAATGGGGATGTGAGTGTGTGTGAGAGCAGAGGGGCACATGTGTGTGCATGGGGGTGTATGTGTGTGCATGTGTGAGTGCAGGGGGAGGTGCATGGGAGTGTGTGTGTGTGTGCATGTGTGGAGAGGTGAGATGGGAGCCCAGGCCAAGGCAGCCAGTTTCCTCCCCCCAAACCCAGGCAGCAGCACCCAAAATGCTGGACCCAGCTACCGATGTGTCCTGGGCTGGGCAGGGGCAGGTACATTGGACCCTGGCAACACAACCTCCCCTTGGCCTGGACCACGGCACTGCAACAGCCAGATGCCTCTGGAGCTGGCCAGGAGCCTGCGGCATCCAGCACAGACTGACCCCAGCACTCGGGGCTAGAGGGACGTGAGTCCCCTGCAAAGCCCTGCACTCTGCCCATTCCCACCCCCGACCTGCTCCGAGACACTGGATAACATCTTTGCTCCCCAAGTCAGGCTCAGCCTGAGCCCCTGCCGGGACCCCCAGCCCCTTCCCACATGTGGCCCTGCGGAGGAGATGAATGAAACCTGTGTTCCTGCGGGCGCAGGGCGGTTTGGCTGCAGAGCCCGTCTTCCCGCAGGGGAGAAGGAGGAGATGGAGCATCTCAGCTCTATTCGCGGCTGCCCGAGGGCCAGGGGGCCCGGCTATCTGCTGCTAGGGATTGTGCATGATGCAGCCGGAGAGAGGAAATCAATGGAGCTGTCAGGGCCTTCAGGCGCGCGGCGCTGCGAGCTCGCCCATCCCGGGCTCTCCAGAGGGAGGACTCAGATAAAAGACGGGGAAAAAAAGAGGGAGATAAACATCTGACAGGCCTAAGGGGAAGTGGAAGCAGGGCTGAGGAGGGGGAGAATTACACTTCATAAATCACGAGGGCTGGCGCAAAGCCTTGCAGACAGGCCTGTCCCTTAAATGCAGCTTCGGGGGCGGCTTGGCCATGGGGCTGGGCGCGGGGTTTGCACCCGGGATGGCTGCAACATGGCAAGGGTGGAGCTGAGCCTGGCAGGGTCTGCAGCAGCCCAGCCTTGCCCTGCCTGGCTGCACCCACAAGCTGAGGGGCAAAGACAAGCCCTTTGGGGTGGGAGGAGGCTGGCTTCAGCCAACGCCAGTGTCCGTCTGGTGCCAAGGTTCGTTCTCCTGGTCCCCCTCCGCCCGGCCACGGCCCGACTGTGCCCAGGCCCCTGCACTTATGCCTCCAGGCAGGAGCCCGTGGGGATGAGGACGGCTGTAGGGGACCCACCTGGGTGTCTGCAGCACTGCCACCCTCATCTCACCCCCGTTAACGAGGAACGTAAGTCGCCGGCTGCTCATGGGATGCAGTGCAGAACCAAGGTTTTTTTGCTTTTTTAAATTTTTTTTTGTAAAAAGATATGTCTTTATATTTATATAAGGGTCATATATATATACACACACCTTCTAGTCACTGTTCATTACCTCCTTAACCCACCAGTGGAAAAACACCCATTACAATACAGGCACCCGCAGAAAGGTGCTCCCATGCACCCGTCCGCAAGGCATCGTCTGTCTCAACCCCCCTATGTCTTAGTCCTGTTCCCAAATACGGGGCCAGGGTCATTGCTGCATGGAGTGTTGCAGAGTGGGCGTGCTGGAGGGGGCTACCCCAGGGCCTGGGCCCTGGCGCGGGCACTGGCTTTCAACCAGGGCCGAGCCCTGGAGAGGCTCCACTGCTACGGAGCAAGGAGCCCAGATGCTTTGGGAGGATGTGGGCTCATCCACATCCTTGGAGGCCTCTTGCCTTGGGCCTGGGGTCCCAGTTCCCGCAGCTCGTGGGGTGGGTGGCAGAGGAGAGAGGATAATTCCTTTAACGTCATCTCTGCCCGCAGCAGCGCTCCAGTTCCCACGGATCGATTACTTCTGCAGAACCTTTCTTATCGGA